CCTTCCTTCCTTCCTTCCTTCCTTCCTTCCTTCCTTCCTTCCTTGTTTTCCCCCTTTCTTCCTTTTTCTCCTTCCTTCCTTCCTTCCTTCCTTCCTTGTTTTCCCCCTTTCTTCCTCTTTCTCCTTCCTTCCTTCCTTCCTTCCTTCCTTCCTTCCTTCCTTCCTTCCTTCCTTCCTTGTTTTCCTTCCTTCCTTCCTTCCTTCCTTCCTTCCTTCCTTCCTTCCTTCCTCCTCTTTATCCTTTCTTCCTTCCTTCCTTTCTTCCTTCCTTCTTTTTCCCCCTTTCTTCTTCCTCTTTATCCTTCCTTCCTTCCTTCCTTCTTTTTCCTTCCCTCTTCATTTTCCTTTCTTCTTCTTTCCCATCTTCCCTTCTTTTTCTTTGTCTTTCCTCTTTCCCTTTCTCCTTTCCTGTCCCTTCTTGCAAGCTCAAATGGAAAAGGGGAAAAATTTTCTACTTTTGATTTGTTTTTAGTTTGTTTGGCTAGCCCCCTGACGATGAAAACAGAGTTTGTGGGGGGGGCGGGGGGGCGCACGCAGAGGCACGATGTCCCGGCCCTTTGCTGTTTCCAAGGTGGCCCCGTGGGCCAGATCTAAGCACTGACAGTTTGACACCCCTAGACTAGGACATTTCTGCGCTGAAAAACCCTTTGAGAAATGAACACCGATGCAAACATAAGCTTGGCTTATGTGTAAATAAGGAAAAACCTGTTTCCTCTGCCCCGCCCGGGGAAGGATAAAGAAAATCCACCGTATGGAATTTATTTCATGAGTCGACACCGTTGAAGCTCCCCCTGCCCTTTCTTCAGAGTTGGGGGACGCTCCTGCCCTCCGCCCGAACTTTCATTTATGATATCGACTTCTAACGATTCCCAGGGAGCAAACATTCCTCCCTCCGCACAAGTCAGGGCTGTTTTGTGTTATTTTATTTCTCCGCCTTGCCGGGGGCGGGTGGGTAGGTGGGTGGATGAGAATAAAATTAAATCAGAATGTGGTTTGCAACATCAGCCTTGGCTTGTTTGCAAAGGCGCCTCCGGCGGGGCGGACGGGAAAGGAGAGGAAAAAGTAGCCGTGTGACCAGCGAGGTTGGGAAAAAAGGAAATTTTCCATTCCTTTTGGCACCCGACTACACTGAGGGAATTGTGTGAACTCGTGATCTCCTGTCAAGTGATTGATTCCCCTTTCGGTTCTGCAAAGGAAAATTTTCCACCAGCCTGCCTCCCTGACCTCTCTCTCTCTCTCCCTCTCTCTCTCTTTCCCCTCCTCTTTTAAATGACTAACTCACCATCTTCTTCTGTGGAACTTGGTACTTCTCGTCAAAACGTTTCTCTTTAAGTCCTCGGATGATTCACGTTGCTTAAAGTGCTGGGAGGCGGGCTTGGCAGATTTCTCTGGCTTCCAGATCCTAATGATTATGACATCTGCTTTGTGGTGGGTTACCCAGAAAGGGGGTTTGAAAGCAAAAGGCCGAAAATCAAGAAAAAGGCTGCCTTTTTTCCTACCGTGGGGCTCCGTGGTTTTGCACTGGACTTCAAATCAGTGTGTGTGTGTGTGTGTGTGTTTAAGCCATGCTGGCTACAGATTAGTCGGTTGAAAAGTCAAAAACAAGTTGTAACAGATTAACAAGAGTTGGGAGGGACCTGGTAGGTCATCTAGTCCAACCCCCCCCCACCCAAGCAGGAGACCCTACTACACCATTTCTGACAGATGGCAATCCAGGCTCTTCTCGAAAGCCTCCAGGGATGAAGCTCTCACAACTTCTGAAAGATCTGAACTAAAGTGGAACTGTTACCAGGAGGGCACAGAGGTAATCCAGCAAGTACAACTTGATTATTCAAGTTTTTTTTTTGATATTGCTGGGTTGTTGTTTTTTTCCCTTTCCAATTTCACAGGTGCTTTCTTATTTTGGGCCACTATGTTTTAAAACCTCATATCTTTTTTTTTTTTTTAAATGGCATGGTTGCTTAAATAGTTGGCAGGCCACCTGACTTTCTAGAAAACTTTTGTGGGTCAATCTTTCCGAAAATTTAGTTACCACCTCCGGAAGTACAGCCTTATTTGTGAACACCTCCTGTTCCTTCACTGAGGCTCAACTGCTTAACTTTTTAGGATCAGCCAAGGTTTTGCTCTGCTTAGTGATAGCCAAATCTGGCCGTAGGTTCTGGTTGGAGGTTGGACTAGAAGACCTCAAGGTCCCTTCCAACTCTGTAATTTTATTCTATGAGATATTCCTTTTTTATAGTTAACCCAGCAAAGAAAAACGAAAGGGGAAACTTGGTTGGCCAACATAAGAGCAATCCCTCCCCGACCAGTAAATCAACCACAACCTTGGTTTGAAATTAGATAACCGGATGCCAGTGGACACTAAGAAACAATTTTCTTCTCATGAGATCCTTCTGTAAATTCTCTTTTCCAGTTTAGGAATGTTAAAAGCTATCTCAACAATCCATACAGCTGTACGGATAAAAGTTTTTCCAACGGTCCAATCCGTCACGACCCTGAATATAGAAAGTAAGTCAAATATTAAAAGTGACTTGTCAGTTCACAAATTGCAAAAAATCACATCATGTGCCCCTCACTAGTTTAATATATAAGTGTCCATCCAGTTTTGCACTTGACTTTTGTATTAAGTGTGATAAAGTGTTCGACTTCCTTCAATTGTTTTGCCGTTAAAATCCCTTCCACCCTCTCTGCCAAAGTGGCTGATGAGTAGCAGGTGATTATTGTTAAGAATAGCATTATACCATCTGGACTCTGTGTGTGTGTGTGTGCAAGTGTATACATAGAGTATGTACACATAGATAACACCTTTGGGATCCTTAACTGTGGTTGGTGGGAAGGTAGAAGAAGCTGTCAGACATCTGCAGGATGATTAGGACAGGAAAAAGGAAGTGGATTTTCTCTTCACCTTATATTCTGGATCACCCAGAAAAATAGAGATCAGGTCTTTCCAAGCAGATCCTTTCAACAATGCAATATTAGCTGTCAAAGTGTTGCCTTCACATCCTGCATAGCAACTTCCTCTAACTGGATTACCCTTGTTAGAAATGGGCTGCTAAAGAAACCGGTTCTTTGATTTTTTCTTTCTTTCTTTCATTCCACATTTCCTGTTACGCATCTTTGAACTTCACCTCTTTCTACCCATAAACATCATTTTTAAGGAAAACAGACTCCTGGTATCTCGAGGATTTATTACCAATTCTTTATAGAAATTACATATTTTTACAAAGAAACAAGTACAAAACAACAACGCTATTAACACAACAGATGATACAGGCTGATTTCTTGCTATTTAGAGAATCTGCTCTAAAATACTTTAAATTTCCAATTGTTTCTATCCTTAATTCTTTAGAGCATGATGTTACTGGGTTTTTTTTTTTTAAATTGGCTCTGACCTGGATCTTTAAGAGCAGACTGAAACCAATTCAATGGCATTTGTCATTCATTTTTTCTCCCAAGGCAGGATGGCTTATCGATTCCTACCATATACCCACCCCAGCCTCTTAAGAAACCTGTGTCGTTCGGAAGATGAAACTGTTTTTAAGTTTAATAAAAAAAATTTTTTAAAAAAATTCCCAACATGGGAGAATGTGAGCAATCTCCTCATTTGTCCTTCTGAGCACACTTTGATTTTCACACAGACCCAGCAGGACCCAATTTGTTCTTAACATGCCAGGACACAGCCATGAGGGATGGTTGGATTATTAATCGTTGCGCCCAAGGGGAAAACCAGACAGCTTGTGCCAATTTTGCAACCTTCATCATCCAAAAGGTGTACACTCAACATAGCACCTCTGATGAAGAAAACTCTGCCAAAACTTGATCATCTAAGATTGCAAAATTTCTTTCTTTCTTTCTTTCTTTCTTTCTTTCTTTCTTTCTTTCTTTCTTCCCTCCTTCCCTGTCTCTTTCTTTCCTTCCTTTTTTCCCTCTCCCTCGTTCCCTTTCTCTTTCATTCCTTTATTTATTTATCTTCCTCCCCTCCCCTCTCTGCCTTCCTCTTTCTTTCCTTCTTTCCTTCCCTCTCCCTCGCTCCCTTTCTTTCTTTCTTTCCTTCCTTCCTTCCCTCCCTCCCTGCCTCTTCCTTTCTTCTTCCTTCCCTCCCTCCCTCCTTCCTCTTTCCTTCCTTTCCCCTCCATCCCTCTTTCTTTCCTTCCTTCCTTCCTTCCTTCCTTCCTTCCTTCCTTCCTTCCTTCCTTCCTTCCTTCCTTCCTT